TTGAAGTCAATGGAGAGAGAAAGATTATCTCTCGATCCCGTTTGAATTGTGCCACGAATTACACATATGATGTTTGTTAATCTTAAAAATTATTTCCATGTCAAAAAAGTCACAGTTTGTCGTAAAACTGTTGAAATATAAGACGATGAAAAATACGCAACTAGAAAGACTACAAATCCCAGAATCCCGGTCCCGCATGCTGGCTCTCACGGAACCGACTAACTCCCCTTGTGTGTGTACAGCTCTCAACATGCCCAGACTTGGAGTGATTTTCACCTCTTTTAATACTTTTCACCTCATTCTGAAAGAAAGAAGTGAAATGTGCCAACGTGATGGCCGTCTTGGTGTGTGGTGCGAGGCGGGAGATCTAGTTCATTGAGCGGTTTCACACAAAGAAAGTGTTACTTCACAGTTTTACGACGCATTTTTATTTTTTTTTACTGGCAAAATGATCTTTTAAATTGACAAACATCTTTTGTGTGATTCGTGGCACAATTCAAACGGGATCCAAAGATAATCTTTCTCTCTCCATTGACTTCAATACATACTTTTTCCGAAATAAGGTCCCATGGAGCTCCCCCGGAAAGGGAGGGACTTCGCCTCTCTATAGAAGGAAAAGCCAGTTGAAAATGTCAAGCCAGGCTCTTCTAGACTTAAAGGAGGATGTCAAGACACTAATTAAGCACGTGTTTATTTACACACAGAGCAGGGAAGTAGGATCGGATCGCAAACGGTCACTTGACACTGCATTTTAATGCCAGGTGTGATCTGACGTACTTGGCCGTCCACTAGTGATCAGATTACCCAGGACACATGTGGATGCCAGGTCTGAACTGAGCCAATACGTTTCTGTTGTCAGAGTTCCAGCCCGGTGTGCCCTGGAAGGGAATCCAGAGCAGTGGAGACCCGGACTCTGACCCCTACATGACCCCCGGGAGTGTCCTAGGCTCCCCGGGACCCCCGAGCCTCAACGACTCTGACCACCAGTTACTGCGAGACAACATAGGTATGTCACTGAGTGTGCCAAATATGTTGTTTTAGTTGAAAGCATGCTCCAGTGACAGAAAGTCTAAGGATAAATGTTACAGTATTCCTCACAGGTGTTATCTGCAGTCCAACTTTTGTTGTTTTCACAGAATGTTTAACTTTCCTTGTAATGTTTTGCAGGGCCAAACCCCTCCCTCAACACCTCGCTGCCTTCACCTGGTGCCTGGCCCTACAGTGCCTCAGACAGCCCCCTCAGCAATGCACACAGCACAGGTATGTATTATGCATTTTGACTCTCCTTCATGTCTCCTAAGTTTCTGTTACACTGTATTTTCCTTGTGTAAAAGCTATGCCAAAGGATTTCGCTGCACTACGCCCTCTCCTCTCACATTTCTGTGGTCTGCTTGTCTAAACTCATTACCCCCCTCTCTTTCTCCCACCTCACCATTTCCTCTTTAGGAAAGTACTCGGAGTACAAGCCCAGCTGGCCCCCAGAGCCCATCGGACAAAACAAGATGTGGAAGACCAATCGCAACAGCTCACAGCTGCCACGCCCCCCTCCTGGCTTAGCCAATCAGAAGCAGGCCTCGCCCTCCCCGTGGGGCAGCGGAGGCCCACGGATGGCTCGCAACTGGGCAGGGAGCGGGATTAATCAAGAGTCGAGATATGGCCCAGGTACAATCTGGGGACTTATGGCTTCACTGTATCTTATAGAGGAAGCTCTTCTTGAAAGTGATACAATGACACATCTTTATACAGTATCTGTAAATCTAGCATCATAGAGAGGCCAAGTCCCGCCCATCTACTTCCGACCCATGGGACCTTATTTCGGAAAAATGATGTATTGAAGTCAATGGGGGGAGAAAACTTATCTTTCGATCCTGTTTGAATTGTGCCACGAATTACACATATGATGTTTGTCAATCTTAAAAAATCATTTCCATGTCAAAAAAGTCACAGTTTGTCGTAAAACTGTTGAAATATAAGACTATGAAAAATACGCAACTAGAAAGACTACAAATCCCAGAATCCCGGACCCGCATGCTGGCTCTTACGGAACCGACTAACTCCCCTTGTGTGTATGCACAGCTCTCATCATGCCCAGACTTGGAGGGATTTTCACCTCTTTTAATACTTTTCGCCTCATTCTGAAAGAAAGAAGTGAAATGTGCCAACGTGACGGCCGTCTGGTGCGAGACGGGAGATGTAGTTCATTGAGCGGTTTCACACAAAACAAAGTGTTACTTCACAGTTTTACGACACATTTTATTTTTTTGACTTTCAAAATGATCTTTTAAATTGACAAACATCGTATGTGTAATTCGTGGCACAATTCAAACGGGATCCAAAGATAAACTTTCTCTCTCCATTGACTTCAATACATAACTTTTTCCGAAATAAGGTCCCATGGGGAGGGAAGTA